TCAAAACAAACAAACATAACAACAACAAAACCCTGAAAAGCCAAACTAATCATAAGCAATAATAATCAAGCTGGAGCATTGCACTACCTGTTTTCAAACTATGCTACAAAGCTATAGTAACTAAAATAGCATGGTACTGGCAGGAAAAAAAAAAGACATATCAATCGATGGAACCAGAAATGAACTCATATGAATAATCGATTGATTTTTGATGAAGATGCCAAGAACTCATAATGGAGGAAGGGATAGTCTATTCAATAAATGATACTGGGAAATCTGAATATCCACATGAAGAATAATGAAATGAGACCCTTGTGTCACACTTTATACAAAAATCAACTCAGAATGGATCAAACACACAGATCTAAGGTTGCAAACTGTGAAATTACTAGAAGAAAATAAAGGGGAGAAACTACATAACATTAGTCTGGGCAATGATTTTTTTTTTTTAATTTGACCTCAAAAGCACAGGCAACAAAAGCAAAAACAGGCAAACAAGATTACATGAAACTAAAAAACTTATGCACAATTAAAGAATACAAATTAACATTGTGTAGAGACAATCTATAAATAAGGAAAAAATAACAAGCTGTACATCTGTTAAGGGGTCAATACACAAAATCTTTAAACAGCTAAAACACTCAATAGCCAAATAAAACAAAATAAAATAAAATGGCAAAGGACTTGAATAGACATTTCTCAGAAGATATATATAAAAGTGATTAAAAGATGTATGAAAAAATATTCAACATGTCTAATCATTAGGCAAATGCAGACTTAAACCACAATATTCCACATTTGTCAGAATGGCTTTTATCAAAAAGATACAAGATAACAAGCATTGGCAAGATGTGGAGAAAAGAGAATCTTTGCACACTGTTTTGGGGAGTATATATTAGTGTAGCCATTATGGAAAACTTGATGGAGGTTCCCCCATAAAACTAAGAATAAAATTACCAGATGATCCAGCAATCCCACCTCAGGGTATTTATACAAAAGCTTTCAAATCAGTTCACCAAAGAGAGTCTGCACCCTCAGGTTCATTGCAACACTTCACAAGAGCCAACTTATGGACTCAAAATGTCTATCAACAGATAAATGAGCAAAAATAGTATACGTTTATAATGAAATACTATTCAGCCTCTAAAAAGAAGAAGGGGATTCTGTCATTTACTACAACGTTAAAAGAATAGGGGATCATTATGTCAAGTGAAATAAACCAGCACAAATATTTCATGTCCTCTCTTAAATGTGGAATCAATAGAACTCATAGAAGCAGAGGGTGAAAAGGTGATCACAGAGCCTGGAGTTAGTGGGAGCCATAAGGAGATGAATGTCATAGTGTACCTGGTCTTCAATTAGACAGGAGGAAAAATCTATTGCACAACATAAAAGAGAATAGATTTCATGTGGGGATGTAGCTCAGTGGTAAAGTGCTTGTATAGAACACATGAGGTCTAGGTTCAACCCCCCAGCATGGCAAGAGAGAGAGAGAGAGAGAGAGAGAGAGAGAGAGAGAGAGAGAGAGAGAGAGAGAGAATAAATTTCAAATGACATTACCACAAAAATATGTTATTTGAGGTGATGAATATGGTAACTAGTTTGATTTAATTATTCCCCATTTTGTCGTAAGCCACAACATCACTTTTCAACCCTTTAAATATATGCAATAACAAATTGTCAATTACGATAATAAGGAAATAAATAAATGTAAAATGTACTCACATGAAAAATAGAATTGAAAACTGCTAGTAGGAGTTGTCTTTGGGTGATATGTGGATTTCATATGGATTTTTGCCCTCTTTACAATTTTTTTTATAATGACTATGAATTACTTTCATATTTAGGGAAAAAAAACCATTTACTTAATGTAAAAAAAGGGGAAATCCTGCTCATCCCTCTCAAGACTGCTACCAATGGACTCCCCAGGTTAATCAGTTTCTTTCCTCTATGATTTTGTTATTATAATTTACCTTGTATTGTCATTTTTCTTCTTTTGACATTGGCCTAGTATTTTTCTTCTAGACAGTTATGAATGTGTGTCTAAAAATGATGGCAACATAATCCAAGTTCACTTTCCAGAAAATGCCTACACACAGGCAGGGCGGGCCCATTCTTCCAGCCTTTCATTTCTGGGAGGGCAGATACTGCAAGTCTCCATTGCCATGTCCCAGTGTCATAGATCCCAGTGCACAGAGCTGGGCTTCAATGTGTAGTCGTTGCATTGAAGAGAATTTCTCCTCCCATGGGAAAGATGTTTTCTAATGAATCCTGAGAAGGACTGGAGAGAGGCTTCTGGGGTAACAGTAGGCCTTTTCCTGTCTCCTGAACCAAAGCCATTAGCTCAGGCCTCTGGGATGAATTTTCTGGATTAGAGTATCCCTGTCCCCCGTGAGAGTAGAAAGTAGTCCTGGGCCATAACACACTCCCAATCACAACACAACACACCCTGGAAGGCTGCCCTGAGAGCCACAGGAGGAGTCGAAACTGAGGATTCAGAGGACAAGTATATGGGACTAGGGTGAAGGTGGCAGTCCCCGTGTTCTGGTGTGCTTCTTCTCTCCTTGCTGATTCTGCTGATGGCTCTAGAGGCCTAGCACTGGTATGGGTTCCCCTACTACCAGGGTGTGAGGCATCCTCTAAGAATGGTTTCTAAGACACTGACATAAGGCCTATGTCAATGGGAAGAGCCCTGTTGGTGGGAGTGGGCATGGAGATCACAGATGGATGTTTTTCCTTCTGGGGCTTGCTTCTTTCTTCTCCCAAGTGACGGAGTAGGCAGGGCCCCATTTTTTCACTTCACCATTACACACACACACACACACACACACACACCAGAGCAGAAGCCAAAACAGACCAACGTCCAGACCTGGAGAGAGGGGCCCAGCCCACAAAGCTTGCGAGCAGGGAAGGACCTTAGAGAGACTTAGGGCTGCTGTAAACTTGCAAGCACAAATCTCAGGTCCCAAAGTAACCGAAATCTGTTTTTCTCTAACTTCTATTTTTAGCTCAGTTCTACTGGGATCCAGAGAGAAACTCAGTCTCAGTCAACAAGGAGATGCATGAGTCTCAGGGAGCTACAATGCTAAGGGATCAGGAGCAGGGGCAGTGTTCTCTGGGCATTCAGTGATTCAAGTGCCCTCCATTCACACTCTCATCAGGAAGGTGCTGCTTAAGGTCCTGTCTTCTTGGCCCCACAAAGCCCCAGCATCCTCTATAGAGCTCTGGCTGGATCTCTGTCCCAGCCCTTGGAAGGCAGCTCCCTTCCCTGTTCTTTACAGCCCCAGAAGGGGAGTCCCAAGTGCAGAGTTTTTAAGGCGAGGGTGAGTGAAGTGTAGGGGAGAGGGCTTAAGATTAGTGCACTAGGGCTGCGATCTGTGAAGAAATTTATCTGCAACAGAAATTTACTCCCCCCCAGTGATGGAAGTACAGAAATCAAGATATTATCTAGTTTTTTTCTGAGGGCTCTGAGGGAAAATCCATTCTATGCCTCTCTCCTGGCTTCTGGTGATTTTCTGGCAATCTCTGCCATTCCTTGGCTTGTACATCACCCTGATCTCAGCCTTCATCATCCCATGGCATTCTCCCCTTGTGTGTGCCTGTCTCCAAATTTCCCCTTTTATGAGGACACCAGGCATATTGGATTAGGGACCCACCCTAATCCAATATGACTTCATCTTAACTGTTTACAACTGAGATGACTCCATTTCCAATTGAAGTCACATTCTATGATACTGAAGGTTAGAACTTCAACACATGAATTTTATAGAACACACTCAACCCATACCTGAGAAGTATGCCATTCAGGAGGAAAAGAAATCTTCTCCCCTGAATCCTGTTCTTTGAAAAATTCTAATGTTTTTGGCTCTTCCCTCAGGACATTATTTCTTTAAAATTTTTACAAAATAAAAATAGGGACCTTCCTTTCATTCTGCTTTTTGTTCTGTTGCATCCCTTGCCTTGGTGTGGGATGAAGAACAGCAGAATTATTTGATTCTGGGTAAGAGAAGAAGGAAGAAAAACCAATAAATAGGTCAATATTTCCAAAATGCTATCCTTCCAAGTAAGTAAGCCTTCTTTTTCCTGAAGTGTTGAGGAGGAAGTCTAAGACCAGAGAGCTAATCAGGGGGTGTTATGGTTTAGATGTGGTGTGCCCCAAAAGCTCACATGTGAGACAATGCAAGAAGGTTCAGAGGAGAAATGATTGGGTTGTAAGAGTCTAAACCCAATCCATGAATTAGTCCTGATTGGAATTAACTGAGTGGTAACTGAAGTGGTAGGGTTTGGCTGGAGGAGGTGGAGTTGGGGCCTGGACTTGGTGGATATATTTGTATCTGACAAGTGGAGATTCTCTTTCTACTCTTTGATCACCATGTGAGCTGCTTCCCTCCACCACGCTCTTGCACCATGATGTCCTGCTTCACCTTGAACCCCGAGGAATGGAACCTGCTGTCCAGGGACTGATACCTCTGAAACTGTGAGCCCCCAAATAAACTTCTCCACCTTTAAAATTGTTCTGGTCAGATCGTTTAGTCACAGCACTGAAAAAGCTGACTCAAACAGGGAGGTTTGGGAGATTCAAATCCTAGTCATGTTGTCTTTGGACACTATCAGCAGTCATTCCCTTGGCAGGTAAAAAGAAAGAAGCAGCTTTTTTAAAAAGACACCTTTATTTTAAAATTTTACATAATCTTTGGATAATTCAGAATTAGCTTAGGTATGTTGCATAAGTTTCTGAAACTAATGTTTCAACTTTTTGAAACCAATAGCAATAGCTTACTTGATTGGTGGGAGGATTAAGGAGGACATCAGGACACAGGACAAACAGATGGCTACTGAAGACAGCACCCTGTATACACAGAGGCTTTCCTGCAGCATTCAGTCATAGTTTTTAAATTATCTGTCACAAATATTAAACACCTCATCAGACCAGCAATAATCCCCAAATCTCATTTGCATTTCATCAAGAGCACAGAACTCAAAGTTCTATGAATTTAAGAATCATAATTAAATTAACTTAATCCCTTATATTAATAATAACAATTAAAAACTATATTCTACCCAGTGTTGTCTCAATCATACAACGTGTATCTCAGGTCCACAGAATGCCACCTTCCTCAGCACTCCATGGTCATGATTCAAAGTTACAATGAATGTGCCAAATCAGACCCTAAATGGAGCCAAGAGCAAGTTTGCAAACCACAAGTCGGTGGCCTCCGCCCAGACACTCAAATGCCACTCCTTTGCAGGGAATGGGTGGAGGCCATGATGTTCTGACAGCACATATCTCAGTCCTTGTGAAGGTCAGTGATCATCAATAGGTTATAACCTCTGGGACCCACAAGTCCTCAAAAACCACACCCCACTCCCTGAGAGACCTTCTGCAGAAGGTCCATGAGGTCAAAGAAATTGGGGTCAGGATGCTTTGAAAGCAGAAAATGTTTAAAAGTAATTTGGGAGAGGAAAAAAGATAGGAGTTAGGAGGAGTTTGGGGACAGACACAAAAAGGGAAGAGTTGAAATACAACACACAACCTGGCTGATTCCACATGGAAAAGAAAAAGTGGGCTAATGGAGACCCTTTGCTCCTAAATACCCAGGTTGAGAGCCAGCCCAGGCAGCCACAGTGATGACAGGGCCATGTCCCCAGGGCAGGGCCTTGGGAGAGGCTCTGCTCTAGAGGAGGAATTGAGCATCCTTCCAATGTGCTGTGCCAATTATTTGCCCCAACAGAGCCACCCTGCTCCCAGCACAATCATATTTTGAGAGCGTTTCTTTAAAACATGAAATCAATATCTAGGTAGAGATCTCAAGCAACATAGAATTCTGGTTTGTGAGAGCATCATTCAGTTGGGAAAAAAACAAAGCCCAGCTTTGGCAGCACTGATAGGAATGGTGGATCTTGCATTACCTATGTGGAAAGAGAGGAGGGTGCTGTCCAGAGAGAATGTTAGGTATGTGTGTTCATGTGACAGCAGGCAGGGCTCACACTTTGGGGCTGGTTTCTGACCCTCAGGCTCTGGAATCCCCAGAGCTCTTGCTGACATAGGACAAAAAGCAGCCTGAGACTGTTCAGGAAAATGGTCTTCCCAGGCTCAGGTGGCCAAGGGACCAACTCTAAAATGCCTGATGGAGAAGAATGGCCTAGGGGCCATGCTTAGCAGTGAATGTTCTGGAAGCCAGGCAGTGTGGCTTTTCCGAGCAGGTAAATGTCCTCATCTGTGCCCTCATTGAGGTGCTTTACCATATTCTTCTCAAAGAGGAGTGGGTGGTAGGCACCCATTGTGCAGGCACTATCGAAGAACTTCTGGTAGTAGTAGCACACATCAGTCTTTCGCTTAGATGGGAGGAACTCATAAATATCCACCTGGTCACACAGCGTCAACATGATGAGGATACCTGGAAAGGGGAGCACAGGTGAGCTGTGCCCAATAACCCACCCCAGTGCCCTGAAGCCCTGCTCAGTGGGTGCAGTAACTCGTGGCAAACCTTGGAAAGATCCACTTGGAGTTTCTGTTTATTCCTGTGACTCGCAATCTGAGTTCTCTGTGTCAGGCAAGCCCAGCAAGCCGCTCCTTCTGCTTGCCTGCTTCACTCGACTCCCTCTCCTCCTGTCCTTCCCACCTCCCAGGCTTCACCCTGGGCTACGTTCTCCATGAAGCTATCTCTGACTGTTCAGCTGGAAGGACTCTTCTCTCCTGTGACACTGATGTGGTCTTTCCTCCCTGGCACAATCTGAATGTTGCCTCAGACACCTGACTGAACTCTCTTACTCTTATTTTATCTAAATAAGATACAAAAAAGAATTGTATCTTTTTTAGATAAAGCTTGGCATAGTGTACAAGCCAAGCCAAGCATAATTCTAGCAATGGTTTTTGTGAGTAAACAAGCCAGTGAATAAATGAATGAACTGAACCCCAGAAGAAAGCTAATCTCTTCTAGGAAAACACACACACACACACACACACACACACACACACACAAACATGGTGGTTTCCCAGACATGGACTTACCAAGCATCCCAGAAGATGGGGGGTTTGGCTGAATCTCTTCTGGGGAGATTTCTTGAAGGACATCCCACAGCTCCCAAGGCATCTGGGGTCTAAGGATGTAAAAAGGCTGACCGGGATGCATCGTACGATAACTCTTGTAGTTATTAAAGAAATTGTAGTCAGGATTCTTGTACCACTGAAAAAGAAGGAAGTGGTCTCAAGGAATGAAAGGCACTCATGCTGTTGCTCTGTGTAAAGCAGCCACTCTAGCCAGAGGACTCAGGAAGGGACAGGCCATGGCAGAATTCTGAGGCACTGCTCTTCCCTGGAGTAGATCTCAGACTTCTGCATCACCTCACAGCCATCACTGGGTAGCACAGTGGAGCAACATAGTTTGTGCTTAGGGACTATTGGGCTTTGTGACCTTGGCACAGCTTCAGATGTTAGGATCATGGAGTCTAGGAATGGTATTAGAGTTAAAGGACCATCTAATCCTATATTCCAGTTTTCTTTTCTTTTCTTCTACATATTTTTTTTTTTTTTTTAAGAGAGATCTCAATATGTTGCCCAGCCTGGCCTTGAATTCCTGGACTCAAGTGATCCTCCTGTCTGAGTTTCCTGAGTAGCTGGGATTACAACTGCACACCACTGGGTGTGGCTACTCTCATCTTTAAAAGGGAGCACACTGGGGTATAGGTCACCACATCGATGTGTAAAAGTCTTCCTTCTTTCCCAGGCAAGTTTAAGTTCTAAGTGGGATCAGTGCAAAACTGTAGAAATGGAGGTAGTGAGGGTGACAGGGATCACTAGTGCCTCCCAGTTATTGGTGGATTCAACATAAGAACTAAGTGTCCTAAGAGGAATGCTGTCTGCCCTTCACCCCTTGAAACTATTGTCCTGAGGCCACCACAGCCTACAGCAGGGAGAGGCCAACTGACATGCATAACAAAACAGTGAGAGGATTATTTCAGAAAGTTCAAGAATCCAGCAGGCCTGTGACTCATGTCTCCTTCCCCTGAAAGACTAGATGTTACAGATCTGAATCTGCTTAGGAAATCAAGCCCTGGGACAAGTGACTGCCCCATCCACATTCTGGTTACCTCATCTATAAAATGGGAACGACCATGCTTCCACCTACTTCCTTACAGTGTTATGAGGAAAATGAGAAGGATTTTAGAAATTGAAAGTACGGGACAGAAGTGTGATAACATTATTGATAGGAACAACTACAATTATTGACTATTCCTATTGATACTCAAAGGAATTAAGGCATTAATTGCATTAATGAAGACAGTCTCCTCCAGATGATAAAAAAAAAAAAATCCAGCCACTATTACTTCCAATGTATGCCATAATTGGGAGAAAAATCCACGATAATATAGGGCATAGAGAACTGGTGGTATAGGTCAAGAACACTTCTGAATCTGCTAGTCCAAAAGAAGTGAGGTGCTCTAAAAGTCAAATATTCAGGAATTGCTCCTCTTAGCCATGCCTTTATAAACCTAAGAACTCAGAAAAATCTGTAGGCAAACAAGAGACCCAGCTTCTCATGGACACCCACTTACCTTTGGGATATCTGAATGATATACAGATGGGTCCCACACAATTAGGATTCCTTCATTGTACAAACTGTCTTTGAGGAAGCGCTTTTCTGTGGTCACCAACTGTAGGAAGAGAGATATTAACCATCACTTGGAGATTTACCTGAAAACACTTGGCTCATGGTAATAATTGACACATCACCAGGTACTGCCTGAAACCCAGAGTTCTGTGGGGCTCTAAGTTGGTGTAGCACTTAACTTCAGTGAGAAGGTAATGATGCCAGCCCAAACTGTGTTGACCAGTAAGGACATTTATCATGCTCCAACAGCCATAAAGCAAAAAGGATTCCACCCAGACTTTGAGACTATGGGGGCGAGAAAGCACAGTGAAAATGTCTTAGTGTCCTAGTCCTTTGAAGTCACAACTTGGTGATGGGGTGGGGTGTCAGAGGAGTTGGGTTTTAAGTTAAAATCTCATAATAAAAATGATCTCTAGAGATCCTGTCAATCACATAAACTCACAATGTGTACACATTATGATGGAGACACATCTTTCTCAAGGTCTACTGCAGCTGGTCTGGAACAGACCACTGCATCTGTGTGGAGGAACCACACAGTGTATACAAAAATATGAAAATTTAAACATAAGACTCTCACCAGGCTGGGGAGATGCCCATGTGCAACCTGCTGGAAGAACCAGCCACAGCACTTCTCCCCTGCACCCTGGCTCCTGAGCTGGGCTGCACATGAGTAATTGAACCTATCTGGTTTAAATATGAATATGACAACTCTGATGGGACAATTTTGCAAAATGTATTAAATTCATTTTTTTTAAAAGAGCGAAATATTTCCTTTTAAAAAAAAAGCAAAATATTTAGATTCAGTAATTCCACATTTGGTAACCTATCCTAAGAAATAATCCAAACCCAGGGGGAAATATACAGGAAATGTTACTTAAACTATTGATCAAAACTACAAAAGTTAGCAGCAGGTGGGACACGACATTGCTCAGGTGCAAAGTGAGAGGATCAGATAAAAGAAATCAAATCAAAACAGACTGAAAACAAAAAAAATAAGAATCATAAATCCCTCCCCTCCTCAACCACCACTGCCAAGGCCAAGGCCTGAACAACATCACGGTGGTGTTCAAAGACACCTATGGGAAGAAAGATGATCTGTGTGTAGCCCAAAGAACAACAGTGGCCATGAGTCTCTCAGAGCACTGAACTATCCCATCCTCTTCTGCAGATAGGGGCTATCTGTTATGGTTCAGACCTAATGTCCCCCAAAAGCTCACGTGTGGGGCTATGCAAGAAGGTTCAGAGGAGAAATGATTGGGTTGTAAGAGTCTTAACCCAATCTGTGCTTTAATCCCCTAATAGGGATTAACTGTGTGGTAACTGAAGTAGGGTGTGGCTGGGGGGAGGTGGAAATTGGGATGTAGCTTGAGGGTATATATTTCTATCTAGCCAGTGCAGTCTCTCTCTCTTCCTCCTGATCACCATGCAATCTGCTTCCCTTTTCCACACTCTTCCGCCATGATATTCTTCCTTGCCTAGAGCCCCAAGGAATGGAACTGGCCTTCTATGGACTAAGACCCCTGAAACTATGAGCCCCCAAATAAACTCTTCCTCCTCTACAATTGTCATGCTTGGGTCCTTTAGTCAGAGCAGTGAAAAAGATGATCAAAACACTATACCTACAGTGTGACAATACAATTCCATTCATTCCGAGGATCTTTAAGATAAGAAATATCAATGGTGGGCCCACCTGAGCCAGGGATTGTACAGCTGTCTTGGGAACCAGAGGTTAGCCTATTCCCTATGCTCCAGGTAGTCACACACTGATGGCGAACATGGGCAATGCTGTGACAGTAGGAACAGTATGAGAATGGCTGTTAGAGAGGGTAAATATTGAGGGCCAGATGAGAACATGCCAAGCCAGAAAGGTAGGGGGTAGAGAAAGGATGTCCTAGAGTTGGGGAGAAACAAGAACAAATCATGGATATGAGAGAATGTACCTGAGACTGCCAGCTGCCTCCCAGTATCCATTCTCCCTTTCTTCCTTGGCAACAAATGTCTCTGGGTTTTAGATATAGCTATCTAAAATAGGCTACCTGCAGCTAAGCCATGTGACTAATTCTGACCAATGCTATGTAAGCAAGTATGACATCTAGGAAGTGTCTTACAGGCAAGGACATGACCTTCCTTGTTCCTTCCCCCTTTCTTTTGATAGAAATTTAGATGTGATGGCTGGAACCTGAGCAGTCCTCATGAATTAAGAAGTTCACATGCTGAGAACGACAAACCCACAAAGTAGAAGGAAACTGGCATTTTGACACCATGGAACACCATAAAAGCTGTGGAATGTCTGCTTTAATAGGAGAGAGAACTATATTTTGGTCTTGTTAAGCTAGTCTGGAGGATGGGTAGATGCTCCTATCACTTGAAGTCAAACCTAATTCTGACTAGAACAGTAAGCAGCCTGACTGGGAATTCTAAGTTGTTCATTCTGACTAGGACACCAAAAAGAGCTGAAAGGGGTTCAAGAAACTTAGGCAAGAGTCATAGCAGGAAGCTTTGTGTTTCTTTAATAGGTCCTTCAGTGTTATCTTCCTGGTAGATAAGATTGTGCAAAACAGACTGTTGGAAATGGTGACAAGGCAAGTCCCAGAGGAAGAGGGCCCCACCCATACTATTCTATCTCTATCTTCCAAGACAGAATTCCATAACTGAAATTCCAATTCTCAGCCCACCCTATCACTCCAGAACAGTAGGTCCATGGAGAGCAGTATGTCTTTTCTCGAGCTACTTCTGTCCAGGCAGAGTACTTTTGTAGGCAATTTGTACGTCATCAGGAGGACTAGCCATAGCTGAGATTTTTAAAAATGGCTCCTCATGTACACAGCCATAGTCCGTAATTTTTTTAGTATGCAAGGCAGGAGGCCCGTGGCTGCATCTTCTGGCTCCCAAGACCTTTCCAGATCTGTGCTTTCATTGTCTGCCAAAGTTCCACAAAGCTTTCTCCTTTACAATAAATGATGACAAAAATTATAACATATGCCACTTAGTGGTGCTTATTACACAAGAGGCAATTTCGTATATTATCTCAGTTCATATTCATAGTAGTCTTAGAAGGTAGGTACTGATATGCCTCTTTTACAAAAGTGAAAATCGATGTCAAGTAAACGTGTTTCGGTGTTGTAGCCCGTAGGTACACAGGGGAGTCTGGCCTCAAGCCTTATGTCTGGCTCTGGAGATCACACTTCTGACTACGTGTTACATTGCCTCACACAAAGAAGGCAAAACTGACCAGACAAGTCCAGCTTCTAGCAAAGAAAGGAGCTGACCTTTGCTTTATTTATATTGGAAGACATCAAAAAGATGCTATAGAAAGTTCTTCACGAAAACAGGATAGAGGTGGTTGCAGGTAGGCTGCTCAGTTCCTAGCGGGTCACGCATACCTCCGGTCCAGTGTAGAAACTTTGGCAGAGTGAAGGGAGAGTTCGCTTGCATTTGGGCAATCTATCCCAGTGGGACTGCCATGGGAAGGTCCCAATGCCAGATGTACCCCCTCACTGGCTACAATGCTGAAGACGGTCCTCAGACATTCCACAGATGGCTCCCCACAGAGAAGTTTCAGAGTATCATGGAAATTTTGCTTCTTGGGGAGTTGTAGCATGTCATAGCTGGAAGATTACAGATGGACTGACCAAACCCATCATTTTCCAGATGGGTAAAGTGAGGCCCAGAGAGAAGAGAGAATTGTGTAAGGCTATAAGAAGAGTTTGAAGCAGAGACAGGACCAGAGCTCAGAGGTGGGCTTATAGCGGAGTGTTCCCTCTTTTCTAGCAGGACTACACTCACACCACCACCGACATTTAAATAAACACACACCAAGACTGTACATAATAGCGTTCTTCAGGTAATACCTCTGAATATCTGGGACTTTGTTCTTCTCAAATCTTTTTCCTTCTAATATGGACTATATTGCCCCATACTCCCAAATTCAAATGTTGAAGTCCTAATTCCCATTGTGATTACAATTAGAGAAAGGACATTTAGGGGGATAATTAGGTCTTAGGGGTAGAGCCCTAATCTGATAAAAGTGGTGTCATTACAAAAAAGAGGAAAAGACACCAGAGTTGCTCCTTGCAAACATAGAAGGAAGACTACATGAGGACACAGTATAAAGACAGCCATCTGTAAGTTGAGGAGTGAGACTGCACCAGAAACCAACCCAGATGGTAACCTGAGCTTAGGTTTTGACCTCAGAACTCTGAGAAATAAATTTTTGTTGTCTGTGTTATCCAGTTTGTAGTACATTATTATGGCAGCCCAAGATGATGCCTAATACATTGTGTGTGTGTGTGTGTGTTGATGTAGATACAGGTATTACTTGACTATAGAGACTATGTATGTGTTTTTTTTTTTTAAAGAACCGGATTCTTCAAAAATGTCAATATCTTTTGACAAATTTCTAGACATATATGATATACTATAATTGAACAAAGAAGCAGGGAAAACCTAAACAAATCAATATCAAGAAATGAGATTGGAGCAGTAATAAAAAGCCTTCCAACAAAGAAAAGCTCAGGACCAGATGGATTCTCAGCTGAGTTCTCCCAGATCTTTAAAAAAGAAGTAAAACCAATCATCCTCAAATTATTCCATGAAACAGAAAGGGAGGGAACAATTCAAAACTCATTCTATGAAGACAGTATCACCCTGATACCAAAACCACATAAAGACACACCAAGGGAAGAAAACTTTTATACCAATATCCCTGATGAGAATAGCTGGAAAAGTTGTTAATAAAACATTAGCAAATCACATTCAAAAACACATGAAGAAGATAATGCACCATGATCAAGTTGGATTCATCCCAGGGATGCAAAATTAGTTCAATGTACACAAATCAATAAATAAAATTAATCATAAAGAGAAACAAGGACAAAAATCACATAATCTTCTCAACAGATGCAAAAAAAAGCCTTTGACAAAATTTAGCACTCATTCCTGTTAAACATTAAGGAAACTAGGGATAAAAGGAACTTACCTCAACATCATAAAGGTTATAAATGACAAACTCAAAGCCAACATCATATTGAATAAAGATAAGCT